GAATACGAAAACATTGGTGAATGCCACAAATTCTCCTAAATCACTCGTACGCACAACTTAAGAACAAATCTGTGCGTACGAACGGTTCTTGCATGAAGCCCAATGATTTCCTCCATATCATTTAAAAGTTTTAACAAAATCACAACATGGCATGTGTCAATGGACTGTGGATCTAACATGTTGGTCTTCATGCTGTCCCTGCAGTCTGCACGGTTCGCTGTCAGAAGTTCCTCATCTCACGAGTTGGAGAAGACTGGATCTTCCTCATCCTTCTGGGACTCCTCATGGCCCTTGTGAGCTGGGTGGTAGATTTTTGTATCGCCATCTGCCTACAAGGTGAGTGAGGAAGGAAAAGAGGGGTTTGGTCAGCTTTTATGAAGAAATAAAGTTTAAGTAGATTAGAGTTTTATAAAAAGTGGCATTAAAGTCTCTTTTTTTTTTTTCTTTTGTGTCTTTGATCAAAAAGGCTTAGCCTTGACGAGCATTTAAGAACACTTCAAAATAGTTTTCTATCTAACAAGAAGCAATATCATGTCTGCCAACACAAGTCTTCTTTAGTTAGGAATTTATTTCAAGGTTTGCTTGGTAAGAAAGAACAGGCTGACCTACATTAGTTAAAGCAATCAGATATAAATGCCGAGCACTCTGAGCTAACATGACAATCTCTAAAAGCCCAGTCAAAACCAATATTGATTACAGTTACATGGTGAGAATAACAAGATCTTGTAAATTATTGTACTGAGGCTTGAGGAAAGCAGTGGAAGTTGATACTAAAGATGATGGTGCTCTGCTTGTGGTGAGAACTTCCTGAAGGGGTGTAAACAAAGAGGCTGAAAGTGGAGTAAGTAATGGTTTAAATAGGAAACAAAAACTAATTGGCCTCAAGACTTAAAGGATTTAAAGCTGATTACTCCATTATTTATGTTCTAAACAGACATTCTATACTTATAATAACTTGCAAATTGATTTGAGTAAAGCTAATACTAGCAAACTACATGAAATTAACCTTGTAACCAATAGATCGCAAATTATTTCAAAACTAGACATAATTAAGTTGAAGGAAATTGTGACTGAATTTTAGATCTTTTACTTTAAACAGTGATGGAATCAATGTTTCTACTTAATATGTGTTTCCTTCGTAGGATAAACAAATACTTATTTAAGATTTTGAGTATATCAGTGCTGAAGTAAAATGTACCACCCCAGGTGTTGGACCAGAGTTTTCCATAAATTGTTTTGGGTTGTAGGGACAGAGAGAGACTATGGCAAAGCCATCAGCAAAAGAGAGAAGCTATTGTTTTGCCTATGAGTGACCCTGAGCCTAATCAGCCCCAGTGACTCTGAGCATGAATGGAGTTTTTAGATCTGAAGGATAAAACTTCTTATAATGGGAACTTGGTTTAATGCGCAATTATTCAGGCATCCAGTTTTTGAACACTTTCTTACAAAGGGTGAAAGATGATGCCAATGATGCTTTTTTTTAAACCTCGTTCAGAGGCAGAAGAGATGGGTTGTCCCCCTCCCTTCTGTTTGTTTTCTGAATGAGCTGAGGTGATCAGAGCATGCCTCAGGAACAACGTGGGCATTCTGAAATGTTTGTCCCAGCTTCATATGTGCTTCACCTCACGCCATGCATATTGTCATCATTTTTTATACCATTGTCATATTTTGATACCGCAGTATAACAAAATACCTTCATACTGCCCATGTCTAACTACTACCACCACCACAAATTCTTGTTTTTCTGCTCAGCGCATTTGTTCTGCCCTTCTTGTGACCATAGCTGACATGTCTGTCTCAACTATGTGTTTATGACAACAGCACAAAAGTGGATGTATGGGGGTCTGGACAGCAACGTGTTCCTGCAGTATCTGGCCTGGGTCACCTACCCTGTAGTCCTGATCACCTTTTCTGCTGGCTTCACCCAGATCCTCGCCCCACAGGCTGTTGGTAGGACACACAATCTTGCAACAAACTGAGCGTGAACACTGTGTGAGTTTTCATTTTCAAACACCAATGAAGACTCAACATTTTGTTCATGTATGTAATTGGCTAGTTAAAGAACATCCAACCAATGATGGATGTTTAATAAAGGGTGTCCTGGTTGTCTTACATTAATGTTACGAAACAAACAGTATAAATTGGCTGGAGAAGCGCCGGAGGATAAATTGTAATAATTTCTCCTTCTGCCCTCCCACAGCATTCCCAGTGTAGTACAGCTTATAGCTAAGCATATAAACAACAGTGACAGCAGGAAAGATAGGTTTTCACTCAACGATGTATCAGTGTTGTGTTGGATGAAGAGTCTGAGGAGGAAAACCTATTTTATTGTTGGAAGCTAACGTTAGCGCTGAACGTCAACCGAAAGTAAACGTACAGCAAGCCAGGAGTGACACAAAACATATAAACGCTGTTTTGATGTTGTTTGTCATTGAATGTACAATTTTGTCCAAAATATTAGAATTGAGGAATAATATGATTAACAATTGATAATAGCACTACTGCTGATGTATACAGTATGCTACCCGACAACACAAAATGAACTGGTACGTCGAACCTCTGCCATCTTAAAACAACTTCTTATAAGATCAGATAATCTTAAATCTATATGACTTTGTATGGGTTAGTTCACTGACAGACAATTGGTATATATGAAAATTTTCATTAGCAGGTCAGAGCTCTTCAAAAACCCAAAATCAGTATTGGCCATAAAACCAATCTAAGATTTGTACAGTTTTTATTTGGTCTCTGGATGACAATTTGATTGTTAGCTTTATATTCTGCACTAATGGGTTGTCTTTACTTGTTTGACCAAATTTTTCATAGGACGTAATTTATTTCTGAAGCTCAGCATTAGTCACACATTATTATTGAAACGTTAGAACGTTGACAGTCGTTTTTTTCTCAGACAGATGAAGTCAAACTTTGAATGTTCATCCAACATGTTTTTAGTCTTACAGTCTTGATTCAATCTTTTGGGGTCAATCAAATTCAAGATGTGCTGCTACAGTTAACTGACCTTGAAAAACCCCAAATTGCTATAATTCAGGCAATTTTACACACATTGAGCTAGAATTCGTTGTGTTAGTAGCTCTAATACATGTCTTAATTCTAACTGATTGCTCACAGTGTTTAACATTTTGCTATTAACTATTTGGAGACCACTTTGTTCACAATACTGTATATCTTGAACCACTGTAAAAAAATTATAGGTTTCAATAAAATCACATACACTCACAACTGATTAGTGTTTGAAGCAAATCTAATTCAAGATGCCAGCTCATCTTACAAAAGGGAAACAGTTTGACATTGTTACAACCCACTGACTTATCAGAATGTAACATAATGAGACCAAGACAAAAAGTGGATTTAACTAAAAAAGATATGTTAAACTGAAAAAGGTGTAGTTGGGAAGCACCATAACTAAACTGCTGCCTTCAGCAAAGAATGAAAGTGAGGTGAGAGAGCCAGCCCCAGAGGAGGAGGTGTGTCTCCCTCAAATAGGCAGCTCACACCTGCAAAATAAATATATACAATAACATAACAATAACAATAAAATTCTTCTAAAATGTGGTATGATAGTAGCTGAGTGTAGCTTACTACAACTGCTAATTATTGTGTGAGATCTTTTCTTAAAACCTTGTCAATTACTGTCAGTATCAACCCTCTTTGTCTGTGTGAAATTTACTGTTGGATTTTATTAAAACTTTCAGAATGTCATTATAAAAAAAATTATATTTGATTAACTTTTGGAGTCAGTCAAAATAAAGGTGCTTGTAAACGGTAATTGTTGTTTGGCAACACAAAAATGACTATTACAGTCAGTTTTACAGACAATCTGCTGAAATTTGACATGATTGTGCCTCAGAGTTTTTCCACAACAATTCCATTTTTCCTTGTCTGTCCTGCAGGCTCTGGTATTCCAGAAATGAAGACAATCCTGCGAGGAGTGGTACTGAAGGAATACCTCACCTTTAAAACCTTTGTGGCCAAAGTCATTGGCCTTACCTGTGCTCTGGGCAGTGGCATGCCTCTGGGCAAAGAGGTAGCTCACATACAATGTAAACACCTTTTGCTTGTGTGTGCTACATATGTCAGCTTGTAAACTGAGTTGAATTGGATAGGTGTGCACACAGCTCAGGACAAAATTACATCTTTGTGAATCAGTGAGTCAGCCCAATACATGACTTATGCTGTATGTCTGAAGTCCTTTCACAATGCTGTTAAAGACCAACATGTAAAATCTTTTGGACAGATACCTATAAGTGCACTGTAGCAACGATGGCTGTATAAGGCTGTTTTAAAAACTCAGCTAAGTAGAACTTTGCTCCAAAGATTGCTTTGCCTGAAGATATACCAATAGGAAAACAAAACACACGCACACACACCCCTCAGGTCCTGTGGTTGTGCAGCAATGCAGCAGTATCTTGTAGTTCTGATTCAATGCAGGACTTTACTTCATACTGGTGCATCACACTTCTAATTCTTCCACTTTTAATCCCATCAGTTCCACTTTGAACTGCATCCTGTGAATTTTAAGACTCTCTGCAGACCTTCTTCTTATTGATGTGTTTTCAAAGAGCTTCAAAAAGCTGTCATATGTGGCTCACAACAAACGGGAGGCTAAAATGGTGTTTAACCTGAAGTGAATGCACCTGTCCCATGTCTTTTTTGTCTCCTCCCATCAGGGTCCTTTTGTCCACATCGCCAGTCTTTGCGCTGCTCTCCTCAGCAGGTTCATGTCTCTGTTTGGAGGAATCTATGAGGTGAGATTTTGTCATTTTTAAAACTTTTGTATTTCTTACCTTTGCCTTTTGTCATTTCTTTTTATTTCTGATGACACTAACAGAAAAAAATATTTGTTAGACTTTGGAACTTGGACATGCTCTCTGTATGTCCATCATGTGAGCTGATAATTGAAAACATAGGTGACTGCATTTAGACATAAGAAAGGTCACTATTGACTACAACTCCTGGCAAAAATTATGGGATCACCAGTATTGGATGAGCACTCATTCAGACATTTCATTCTGTAAAACAAACTCAGATCAAAAACATGATACAATAATAAGGTGATTCCAAAGTGCAACTTGTTGGCTTTCAGGAACACTCAAAGAAATGAAGAGAAAACATTGTGGAAGTCAGTGAATGTTACTTTTATAGACGAAGCACAGGGAAAAAATATGGAATCACTCAATTCTGAGGAAAAAATATGGAATCACTCAATTCTGAGGAAAAAATATGGAATCACTCAATTCTGAGGAAAAAATATGGAATCACTCAAACTGGAGGTCTAAGGACACACCCAGTCAATTTCCTTTCCCTAAATGGACACCTGCCTCAGATTAGATCTGCTCATTAGTCTGCAGTTAAAAACACCTGCAGTCATGACACCTTGGAGGGCTGCTGGACGAAGTGGAGTGGTAAGAATCATGGCTCCAACAAGAGAAATGTCTCTTGAAACAAAAGAGGATTGTGAAACTTCTTGAAGAAGGTAACTCTTAACGCATGGTTGCTAAAGATGTGGGCTGTTCAGTCAGCTGTATCCAAGATATGGACCAAATACAAACAGCATGGAATGGGTGTTAAAGCCAAGTGTACTGGTAGACCAAGAAAGACATCAAAGTGTCAAGACAAACAACTTAAGGCCATTTGTCTTGAAAACCGAAAAAGTACAACTAAACAGATGTAGCATAAATGGGAGGAAGCTGGAGCCAATGTAGGTGACCGAACCTTAAGAAATTGTCTAAAGGAAATGGGATTTCAATACAGGAAAGCTAAAAGAAAACCATCATTGACACCTAAAAAAAAAGAACAAGACTGCAATGGGATAAGGAGACACAATCATGGACTGTGGATGACTGGATGAAAGTTATCTTCAGTGATGAGTCAAGAATCTGCATTGGATAAGGTGATGATGCTGGAACTTTTGTTTGGTGCCGTTCCAGTGAGATTGATGAAGTTCCAGTGAGATTGATGAAGAGGACTGTCTGAAGAAAACAATCAAATTTCCACAGTTCCTTGATGATATGGGGCTGCATGTCAGGCATGGACACTGGGGAGATGACTGTGGTTAATTGTTTTTATCAATGCACATTGACATTTTGGACAGTTTTCTCATCCTTTCAGTTGAACAGATGCTTGGAGGTGATGAAATATTTTCCAAGATAACAATGCATCATGCCATAACGCAAAAACAGTGAAGGCATTCCTTGGAGAAAGACACATTCAGTCGATGTCATGGCCTGTAAATAGTCCAGATCTCAACCCAATTGAAAACCTGTGGTGAATATTGAAAAAAAATGGTCCACAAGAAGGCTCCGACCTGCAAAGCTGATCTGGCAACTGCTATCAAAGAGTTGGCATCAAATGGATGAAGAATACTGTTTGTCACTCAAGTCCATGCGTCAGAGACTGCAAGCCGTTATAAAAGCCAAAGGTGGTGCAACTAAATACTAGTGATGCATTTTGAATGGTCTTTTGTTTATCTGTTTTTCATGATTCCATACTTTTTTTCCTCAGAATTGAGTGATTCCATTTTTTTCCCCTGTGCTTGGTCAATAAAAGTAACATTCACTGACTTCCACAATGTTTTCTTTTCATTTCTTTGAGTGTTCCTGAAAGCCAACAAGTTGCACTTTGGAATGATCTAATTATCAGTGTGCATTGCCAATGCAATGCACACTATTGTGATTCGTTTCCCATCCAAGTCATCTCAACTTTGCCATGCTTCTCCTCCTGCATACTTTGTCCTGGAGCTGCCATTGTAATTTATATTTGTAAAGCCCCTGTGCCTAATGATGGCTATGCCTTTTGATGCCTGTAAAACCTTTAGTTTTTTTAAATATTAATGTTTAATAAATTATAATGGCAGTCAATGTAGCCTTGTACTGGTCCAATACTGCCCCCTGCTGCATCTACACAATAATGTACTGTACCATAGTTTCATAATATTTAAACTCAATAGTTCAGTGTTTATAATACTAATATGATTGTATTTTGATGTTTTACTACAATATTGTCTTAATACTGCTCTATAGTTGTAATATTATGCAGTTTAGTGTCAATAATTATATTGGCAATGCGGCTTCCTTCTGCACACATACAAATCAACCTCTGGCACCACACTCTGCCAGAGCTCTAATGGTCTAATTGTCTATGCCATGGGCTTTCATGTGGGAGATCAGGGTTCAATCCCAACTATGAACAAACACTTTCATTTAAAGCACATATTTTCAGATTATACTGTATTGTCACACCATTACACTCAGTGGTTCAGTGTTTACAATAATATGATTTTATTCTCATGCTTTACTATACAATTGTCTTAATACTGCTCTATTGTTGTAATATTATGCAGTTTAGTGTCAATAATTGTATTGGCAATGTGGCCTATTTCTGCACACATACAAACCAACCCCTGCCACCACCTTCTTTCACAGCTCCACTGGTCCAATGGTCTATGTCATGGACTTTCATGTGGGAGATCAGGGTTCAAAACCTGGCTAATGCAACTTTAACAAAAAATCTCTTCCAGCTTCATATTGTCACTCAATTACCTTAATTACAAACACCTGCTCACGTGACAGGCACAAGCTGGTATAGAAAACACATTTGAACTTGGTCCCATTTCATTCTGCAAGTCCAATGCAGCAGGCAAAGCCATGCTGCAATGACATGCTACGTGGCAATGCACACTTGTTTTTACATCGTAAAAACCCATGTCTAGTTGTATCATGTTTTTGATCTGAGTTTGTTGTACAGAATGAAATGTCTGAATGAGTGCTCATCCAAGGCTGGTGATTCCATCGTTTTTGCCAGATATTTTATTAGGTTGTCACATCAAAATCCAAACCGGCCACCATCATTTGAGGAAACTGTACTTTCTAGTTTTATATTGCTTAAAGATTTATGAAAAGTGCCAAAAATAGTTAAAAAGGTCATAGCACACTGTTCCCAATCAAGGTGTGCTTTGGTATTTGAATGTGTAAAATAGTACAAAGTATACAGAAATAAACTGCTTGCAAAAATATGAAAACTGTGGGAATACAACAGGAGCTAAAATTTCTTATTAATACCAGAGAAAATAGGAGGAAGCTGTACAGAAAAAAAAAACAAGGCTGATGAAAAAGATGGAGAACAAGTTAAGGTGAATTTTTGATGAAGGGTAGTGAGGAAGAACAAAGGGAAATGATTAAACTGTTGAAAAGAATGTTTTGGAAACACTGGAAGCTGCAGTTTGATGCATTTAATCATTTTTATGATTCTAACTTTTGTTGTGGTGCAAACCTATACCTTTTTTGTTTTGTAGTTACAATTTTATCCTATTATTTGTTTCTTGAAAAAGCTTTTTTTTCTCCAAATCTTTTAGACAATAATATTGTTAACGTAATTCAAAACATAAAAAACATAATTGCATACATTTATACATACATTATCTACAGTTTACTCCGAGTTGGGTCGCAAGGGCAGCAGCTTGAGCAAGGAAGGCCATGATCTCTCTTTCCCCAGCCATCTCTTCCAGCTCTTTTGGGAGGATTCCAAGACGTACCTAGGCCAGACAAAAGACAGTCTTTCCAGCATATTCTGGATCTTCCAAGGGGTCTCCTCCTAGTTGGACATTCCTGAAGCACCTCTCTAGGAAGGCATCCAGGAGGCATTCCTACCAGATACCTGAACCACCTCAACTGGCTCTTTTTGATGTGGAGGAACTGCGACTCTACTCTTGAGTCTCTCTCAGATAACTATACTTCTCATCCTATCTCTAAGGGAGAGTTCAGCTTGAACTGCTTGAACAACTCAACTCCCACTTCCCCTCGACAGACTAGTACAGTGTCTGCAACATTGCAGAAGCTGTACTAATGTCTGTCAATCTCATTCTCCATTCTTCCCTCACTCATTAACAAAACTCCAAAATACTTGAACTCCTCCACTTGAGGCATAACCTCACCCCTGAACTGTAGATAGCAATCTGACTGACCATGACCTCAGATTTGGATGTACTAATCCTCATCCCTGCCACTTTCACTCTGCTGTGAAAATATCCAGTAATAATTCATTTTATAAATACCTAATTATTTTCATTTATTAACAAGCTGCATCTTTATTTCATGTATGCACTTACTCTTTAGCTCAAATTAATGTTTCAGTTGGGAAGTGAAAGTTACATCCACTGAGAGAGGAGTGAGTGTCCTGAAGGAGATAGAAAAAGTATCTGACCCTCATCAGATGTAGCACAAATGTTAGAAAGCTGGGAAGTTTTGAAAGCACTGCTGAAGGCAGTGGAATTGCAACATTTTTAACCTGCATTCACACTATGACTAAAACTAAAGATAAAAAGAGCACTGGGAAAACATGACTTTGCCTAGATCTTCAAGTTAATAACTGTGACTACACTGGCCACATAAGTTGTTTTGCACTAAGTCTAACCTATGCTCACAAGTAACCCTTACCAGTAGATTTTTTAAAAACTCATCTTTTTAAACAGGCTTTTGAGTCTAAAGAGCATATTGGGCCAGCCATTGTTTTGTTTGATTATATTGTTCATTCTGTTAACCCTGTACTTTGTTTATTGTTTGTATTTTGTGTTCATGTACAGCACTTGTTGGTGCTGGTTTAGCCCCATTGTATCGTGGGCCAAATATCCTAGAAGCATATTTGGGACACATTAAAATGGGAAAATTTGATTTTAAGTGGGAAGCCAAACTCCTCACCTACAGTATGCTTACCAGTCAAAGCTTTACTAGTGGCATCAGGTACTCATAGT